AATTGTTATGTTACTGCTAAATCTGGCTAAATCTAAATGTCCATTGCTTTCAACTCTTTTATAATAAAAGGTAAACATGGGTTGAGTATCCTTTATTCCAAATGCTTGGGACCAGAAATATTTCAGTCTTTAGATTTTTTGTTTTGTTTTGTTTTGTTTGATTTTGGAATATTTGCATAAACATAGTAAGATATCTCAGGAGTGAGATGAAATCTTAGAGTGGTTTTGATGTGCATTTCTCTAATTGCTAGTGATGATGAACATTTTTTTACAACAATAAGTTTTGGCGAGGGTGTGGGGAAAAGGTACACTCATACACTGCTGGTGGGAGTGCAAATTGGTGCAGCCAATATGGAAAGCAATATGGAGATTTCTTGGAAAATTGGGAATGGAACTACCATTTGACCCAGCTAACCCTCTCCTCAGGATATACCCAAGGACTTAAAAACAGCATACTACAGGGACACAGCCACATCAATGTTTATAGCAGCACCATTCACAATAGCTAAACTATGGAACCAACCTAGATGCCCTTCAGTGGATGAATGGATAAAAAAAAAATGTGGCATATATACACAATGGAATTTTACTCAGCAATAAAAGAGATTAAAATCATGGCATTTGCAGGTAAATGGATGGAGTTAGAGAAGATAATGCTAAGTGAAGTTAGCCAATCCCAAAAAGCCAAATGCCAATCGTTTTCTTTGATATAAGGAGGCTGACTCATAGTGGGGTAGGGGAGGGGGAGCATGGGAGGAATAGATGAACACTAGATAGGGGAGAGGGGTGGGAGAAGAAGGGAGGGGGCATGGGGTCATTAATGATGGTGGAATGTGATGATCATTACTGTCCAAAGTAATGAAGACACAAATTGAATATACTATGTATAAAACCAGAGATATGAAAAATTGTGCTCTATATATGTAATAAGAATTGTTATGCATTCTGCTGTCATATATTAAAAAAATATTTTTAAAAAGATGTCTCAGGGATTGGACTTAAGTTTAAACACAAAATTCACTTGTTCCATTTACACCATATACACAGAACTTGAATATAATTGAACGCAATAATTTTTAGTAATCCTGTGCATGAGAAACAGTCTGTGTAACAAAGTTGGAAGGTCTAGGATGGTCTATTTTTTTAATATTTATTTTTCAGTTGTAGTTGGACACAATATTTATTTTTATGTGGTGCTGAAGACTGAGCACTTGCTAGGCAAGTTCTCTACCGCTGAGCCACAACCCCAGCCCTCTTTCCCCACCCCCACTTAGGAATCCTGAATACATAGTTTGCTGTGGGCCTGCATTTTGACTGTAAGTTGTCACAGTAGGTTGGGTGTAGAAATTTCCACTCGGGGCTCACATCAGTGCTCAAAAAGTTTGCATTTGGGGACATTCCAGATCTTGGAGCATTTGGGATTGGGATGCTAACCAGCAATGACTGTTGGGTGTTTCCCTAGAGAACTGGCTCCTACAAGAAAAAGGGGGAACCCCCCTCCCCTTATACTCCAGGCCTCTGAGTAAGGAGCAACATGCCACTCAAGACAGTTCTTACTCAGAACCGGGCCCTTCCAATGTTAGGCAGCCCCTCTTGCTAGTGATTCTTTTAAAGCCTAAAGGGGCCTAAAGTTTAAATATGGCAATTTTAAAGCCTATTTTAAAGCCTAAAGTTTAAATGTGGCTATTCTTTGAACAAAATTCATCTCAGGGTGCTAGCTCTCCAGTGGCCAATCTGTCACCTGAGAAAGCTGGCCTGGGACCCAAGAATCGAATCACAGAGACACCTCCTTCTCCTTTGAAAATAACCTCTTTTCCTCGAGCTTCCTAGCTGTTAAGATTAATTTCAAATAGCAGCGAGACCAAGCTGTGCAGTTTCACGTGAGAATTTCCCATCTTCCCGTCACATCCCGTCTTCTCACACTGTGTTGACATATCCAGCTGAGACACGGCTCTGGGGTCATTAAACCCCCAATTGATTAAATCCCTGGAATTGTCTTTGAGAAAGTCATTCTGTGTGTTTATTAAGTGGAATTATCTAGTGTCCTTCGGATTCCTTTACCATGAACTAATTCCCTTGTTCCTTCTGAGTTCTTTGATGTCCCAAAAGCTTCTGGAACATTTTACATGAGACTTTTTATAGGTTCTTCTTCCTTAGAAGCAGGAAGTTGATGAAAACACCCAAACATTTATTTTCATTCCCAAAATTGGGATGGAAGATGTCTGGTGGATTCTAAAAATAGCAAAAGCCATTCAACACTGAATTTGGTCTTTTTCCAGAAGATTCAATGAACTTAGATTGAGTCTGAAATTTTTCCAAAGCCTGGACAAATCCTAATAGGTTTGGAGGCATCTTCACACTTGTTAATATTTTCTTGGCTCTGTTACACCTGGAAAATTTGCTTTATTCATTTCCTCGATGGGATAAATGATTATGATAACAATAAACATATCTGACAATAAAAATTGGCCTTCATGGCACCGTTCCATTCTCTTTTATGATACGAAGTGGTATGTGATAGTCCATGGGTCATATTCATCTTGTTGCCTTTTTAAGAAAGTAACTGATTGAGGTGACATTCACATAGCATAATGTTGTAAAGTGAACAATTCAGAGGTCCTTAGTACATTCACCATGTCATACAATCACCATGTCTAATCAATACTAAAATCCACCCTGTAAGCAGTTTCTTGCCATCCCTTCCTCCCCCCGACATGACAACAACCTATTTGTTTTCTGTCTCTTTGGAGTTATCTATCCTGGCTTCTTTCACCTGGCACACTGGTTTGGATGTCCATCAACATTATGTCATGTCAGTACTTAGTTCCTTTTGCTGGCTAAATAATATTCCATGGTGAGTGTGACTTCAGTATCCTTACCCATTTATTCATTAATGGGCATTTGTCCTGTTTGGGTCTTTTAGCTATTGTGAATAGTGCTGTTGTAAACCCACATGGGTGTATACTTGCTTGAATCTGTTTTTTCTGTACTTTTTAGCTTATACGTAGGAGTAGAATGGCTGGATATGTAGTAATATTATATTTAACTTTTCAAAGGTGTGCTGAACTGTTTTTCACAATGGCTACACCATTTTTACACACCATTTTACATTCCCACCAGCAATGTGTGAGGGTTCCATTTTCTCCACATTTTTGCAAATTTTCCCTTTCCAAAAAAAAAAAAAATTGTTATAGCCATTCTAATGTAATCACCGTTTTTGTAAATAAAATTCTTATTGGAACATATCCATGACCATTTGTCTACATGTCTACAATGGCAGAGACTACATAGCGCCTAAGGGAAAAAAAAATACTTACTGTCTGACCCTTTAAGAAAAATGTTGCTGGGTTGGGGATGTGGCTCAGCAGCAGAGCGCTTACCTAGCACACGCAAGGCACTGGGTTCAATCCTTGGCACCACATAAAAATAAAATAAAGGTTATTAAAACAAAAGAGAGAGAGAAGAAAAAGGCTGCTGAACTGTTTTAGAAGGTTATCCTTTCTTTTTTTGTCACTTGCACAATTCCCCCAAATAAGACCCAACCATATTGTTGACCTTGGGTGAGTCAGCCTATTTTTAGTGTTGAATTTCCATATCCAAAAAAAGATAGTGGAAGGCTAGTTGATTCCTAAGTCCTCTTCCAGCTGTAAAACAACGCTCTTTCCCAGACAGGCAATTTGCTCTTTATATTCTCTTTTTGTGCAGCCTGTCACCTGCCACCGTTTTTCTAGTTTGAATGAATAACCTCTTCCAGAATTCTCTTTGATTCATTGATCATACAAACAGGAGACAGTAGCCAATTCCTGGCTCGTGTGTTCTCTCTTAGTACCGGTTTGCAGGGATTTGGTGAGGTTGTCCTAAGAAGTTATGAACGAGCTATCAGATGGAAATTTCCAGCTCTTGTAGAAAAGAAAAAAAGGAATCCCGTTAAAACGGAATGGTGTCATCGATGGTTTTATAAACACACAGATGTGTTCAACTTAAGATCTGGTCCTCTTTTTCCAGTCCTCCACCTGAAGAGGAAGGACCAGGAAAAAAATGAGAGAAAGAGAGAGAGAGATGGATAGATTATATATTAGTATCTCACAAAAGGAATTCCTGAAGTTGGACAACTTTTATTAATAACTTATTCATTAAGAAGCTGTAAGAATGAACACAATCATTTCTAAGTGCTGTAGTTGGATGTAGCTTGAATGTTCCTCAGGAGTCCATGTGCTGGAGGCTTGGTCCCTAGCCCCTGGAGCTATTGGGAGGAGGCAGAAACTTTAGGAGGTGGGGCTTGAAACAATCATGAGGGTCATGCCTTGAAGAGAATATTGGGACCCTAGCTCCTTCCTCTCTCTTCACTTCCTGGCTTCCTTGAGAGGGGCAGCTTTACTCCACCAAGCACTCCCTCCTTTGGTCTTCTGCCTTACCACAGGAGCCAACAAATCATGGACTGAAACATCTGAATCTGTGAGCCCAAATAAACCTTTCTTCTATATAAGTGGATTCTCTCAGGTATTTAGTCATAGTGGCAGAAAGCCAACACAATAAAGGACCTTGATCTGATATCCCTGCCAAATGTTGGGTGTGGATAAGACCCAAGGGAATGTTATAGCCTAGCCCTTCATTTTCAAAATGAAAAAACAGACGTGGCTTGTCCATATTGACAGGGTAAATTGGTGGCAGAACACAGATGAGACCCAGGTGTCCTGACTCCAATTCAATGAAAAAAAAAAGTACCAGGGCAGTGCCAGCTTAGAGGAGCCAAAGCAAGTTTTTAGACCAATGTGAGCAGTGATTAGGGAGAAGTATACAGGCCAGCCAGAAAGTAAGGGCATGTTCTTCTGCACTGCCTTCTCTGACACAAGGGAACGTGTTTCCTGTTATGCTCACAAAGGACTCGTCTGGTCTATAGGTGACTGTGGAAAAAAAAAAAGATCTGTATAAATAGCTGGATTTTATACTTTGATTTCGAGGTGGAAAGAAACTGATCATGAATCTCTTATTAAAACCAGTAGGTGCTTAATCATTTTTTATTTAATTGATGTCCATTTGAATCTCATAGGCCCTGTTAAAACATTTAGATCTCCAATCCACTGTCATCTAATTGTCCTTGGACTTTTCCAAGGTATAATGTGGGTATAATACGGGGGTCTCCCTAAGTGGCCAGGCTGGGCTTGAACTCCCAATCCTCCTCCTACCTCAGTCTTCCGAGTTGCTGGGATTACAGGCGTGCGCCACCACGATAAGGAGGCTTACTAGACAGAATACCACAGAGGTGCTATGGTTTGGATCTAAGGCGACCCCCCAAAAACCCTGTGTTGACACGGGGTGTTCAAGGTGAAATTACTGGATCATGAAAGCTGTGACCTAATCAGTCCATTCTGGTTTGAAGGGACTAACTGGCTGGTAACTGTCCAAGCGGGGAGTCTGGCTGGAAGAGGTGGGTCGCTGAGAGCGTCCCCTGGAAGGGTTCACCTTCCCTTGGCCCCTTCCCCTCTCTCTGCTTCCTTGGTTGCCATGAGCACAGTGGTGTTCCTCCACCACGCTCTTCCGCCATGATGTTCTGCCTCACGTGGGCCCACAGCAATGGAGTTTCAGCTGACCACGAACTGAACCGCCGAACCATGAGCCAAAATAAGCTTTTCCTCCTCTAGGTTGTTCTTGTCAGGGATAAAATGCATAGGGCAAGATATGGGAGAAGGGTCATGGCATTTTCGTGCCCTCTTTGGGTGGCATCCTTTGGACACCTTTACCTCCCTGTCCCAGTATGAAACCGTGTTGATGTTCAGTCAAAACAAGCCTGGGATGCTCCGTGGATTCTGCAGTACGGTGTCTCTGCATGGTGATCTTGAAGCCCAGTCCATCACATGCAGGAGCAAACACTCCATAGAACCTTCCAGAACTTTGCCCTTGAGCTGACAAAAAAAAAAAATCATCATAATTCAGAACCTAATTCCAGGAAAGAATGTTTCCATGAGAGTCAATGGGTGTCACTGATAATCAGAACATAACTTTAAAGAGGGTGGTATAGGAAATAAATGGGACATTCTAGGAAAAAGATGCTTGATCGTGTTCCGTGGCATAGTGTCTAGCACCTAGTAGTTGCCTGGTTAATGTTAACTATTACATTTCATCTTAGAAAAGTCAGATTCAAAGCCAATAGTTCCCCACCCTTGTCCGAGGCTTTTCAACTTTTCATGTTTTCAGTTACCTGTGGTCAACTGGAGTCCAAAGATATCAAATGGGAAATTTCCAGAAATAAGCAATTCCTTTTAGCTTATTCCATTCACACTGTCTCAGTCCATCCAACCCAGGACGTGAGTCATCCCTTTGTCCAGGGTATCCTCACTGTATACACTACCTGCCCTTTAGTCACTTAGTAGCCATCTAGGTTACGGACTGACTGAGGCAGCACTTATTTTACTTACTAATGCTCCAAAACTACTAGAGTTAGTCATTATGTCATTTGGATATGTCAAAGAAAAGCCATAAAGTGCTTCTTACAAGTAAAAAGGTAAAAGTTCTTACCTTAAGGAAAGAAAATAAATTGTATGCTAAGGTTGCTAAGATCTACCGTGAAAACAGGTCTTCCATCCATGAAATTGGGAAGAAGGAAAAAGAAATTCATGCTAGTTTTGCTGTCCACATCTCAAATTGCAAAAGTTATGACCACTGTGCATGCTAAGGGCTTAGTTAATATGGAAAAGGCATTAAATTTGTGCATATACTTAATGGAAAAACATTGTGTGTATGAGGGAGGAAGGGTGGAGACTCAGTACTAACTGCAGTTTCTAGAATCCACTGCAGATCTTGGAATATATCCTCAGCAAATAAAGGGGGGACTACTGTACAAAGTGCAATGGAATTGAACCTTGACCTCCGATCAGTGAATGGAACCCTGTGCCCACAAATTACCTGTTATTTGATCTGCGGAGCCAATTAACTGAGTATCAGAATAAGGAGAGGAAAAAGGTATTCGAAAGCAATCACAATGAATCCCATTCGATGAATCCTCTCACCTGAGAAGAGAATTCCTTGCCTCCAGGATACAGAAAGGTATGCTTTGAGTGAGTTTGTCATCCACCTTCCCATAATGTATGCAGGGGACAGTGCAGGGGCCATCCACAGGCGGGCTGCACGGCAGCAGAGCTCCTTCCCATCCTGGACCATGTGTAACGTGTGGCCATGGGTGTGCAGAGGGCACTGGAGGCCACTGGGGGAAAAAATATGGCCCAGCTTCCTGAAGCACTGAATTTGTGAAGCAGAATGCAGACGTTGGCATGAATTTTTTTTTTCAGACAAAATATGATACCTCCAAGAACTTTCTGACACACCATATTCCATTTCCAGCTGTGCCTCCAGTTCCACGGGGACTGTGTGCTTTGCTCTGCCAAGGAGGGCTCTTGGGGAAGAGTTGGTGGTGCTCTGGGGTAGGGCAAAGAGCACTGGACCAAGAGGCAGCAGGAGCAACCTGCAGAATCCAAGTTCAACTCCACCTGTCTCCCTCCCCCCAGCCACTGTCACTCAGGACACCATATTAGCTTCAGCACCTGCCATCCGTTCTCTGAATTACCTTCTTTCACAGAGGAGTGATTTTTTGAAATCCAGGTAGCTGAGCCCATTTTCTCTCTGGTTTAAAGACCTCCCACACATCACTCTGGCCTATGGGGTGAAGTCTGCATTTCTATAACTGGTCCAAGGCCCCTCATAACCAGACCTAAAATGCCTTTGCAGACTTTGATATTCCAATACCTTGCACACACCCTACTTCCCTCCACTCCTGGGCGGGTCCCCGTTCCTTGTTCCCCTTTGGGCTCCACCCAGGGAAACCTTGGTTCACCTCTAGGAGACCTCATCCACAGAGCAAGGGTGACCATGCCCAACAGTTAGCACATACTGACCTCTATTTGCTCTCGTGTGCTTTTGTAGGTGGCAGAGAGAGCTTCTTCTAGAAGTTCTTTGGAAACTCCATCTCAGCAGATTTTCTTATTTCCAAACAGAATTAAAACAGGAAGTGAGAGTCAAAAGTATGCTCCACTGTGACAAAAGTCACATTATGAAACCAAAGTGTCCTCATTTCTTAGGCAGCTCCAGTCTCCTTGGGGGCAGAGGGATACTCCAGGGCTTCCATCGGAGACTGCAGAAACCCTCTTGCTTTGATTTCACTCTGAAACGGGGGCAAAATGTTCTCTGGTTTTGAATGCCAAAGGAAGCCCCCCACAGAGCCCAAGTCAGATGGGGAAAGAAAGGGGCTGCAGAGAGCCAGGCAGAGGGCCAGCGGGTGCTTGGAAGAGACAGAAGTGTTTCCTCCATTGAAAAAAAAAAAAAAAAACTTTTGTAGAAGAAATCCTGGGTCCCCAAGCAAGTCCAATTTCACTAAAAAATCTGAGCTAAGCTCTTCCAACCAATTCTGGCTCCTTCCAGAAAGAGGGAGGGGTAGTAGCTGTCTTCTCTCATCTCAGGACAGAGGGGGTTAGCCATGAATTAATTCTGTTCACCTGACACATCCCAAACCAAACTGGACTCGCTTTTACCCCCAATTTATCACTTGAAACCAAGTCTGTGTTGCTACAGTTCTCCAGAACTCCTGCTGCTTCTTGTGCTGCTGTTTTTAATGTTGTGTGTTGGTTTGTTTTGTTCGTCTCCTCACCGGCAGTGAGCAATCACCAATAAACTAGTAAACACACAAAAGAATCCCACAAACCATCTGAGAGCACAGGAAGCACGTTCTTGCCTATATGCTCAGATCTCATCCTCTAACAAACTGTACCAACGGCTCCACTTTGCATTTTTCTCACGCATTTATTCATCCAATACATCTAATACTGAGCTGTTAGGTGTGAGGCGTCATCTCACGCGTCAGTGCACCTGAGTCACTTGGATGACTTGCTAAAACACAGATTGCTGCACCAGGCCACCTGATTTCCCATTCTGTAGCTGCTCTAGTTTGGATTTTGAACGTCCCTCAAAAGCCATGTGCTAAAGGATTGGTCCTCAAGATGGCATTAAAAAGGTGGTTGAATTTCTAAGAGTTAAGCCTAATGGGAGGTATTTAGGTCATTGGGGGAAGGCCCCAAAGGACATCCTGGGATTCTGGAGCCTTCCTGTCCCGCCCTTGCTTCCTGGCCATGCAGTGAGTGTTTTTTTGTTTTTGTTTTTGTTTTTGTTTTTCTGCCATGTGGTCCTGTCACAGTGTGCTGCCTGGCTACAGGGCCCCAAACAATGGGGCCAATGGATCACAAACCAGAACCTCCAAAACTGAAGCAGATTAAACCTTTTATCTCTTTATAATTTACTTATCTCAGGTATTTCGTTATAATAATGAAACGTTGTCGATTCACATAGTAGTCATAGGGTGGGACCTTGGAATTTGCATTTCTTAAAAATTCCCAGATAATATAGATGTTAGTAGCCCTAGGAGCATATTCTGAGAATCACTGCATTCATATATCCAGGGTCAAATCCCTAGGATGTCCAGAATTGAGAAGATTGCTCAAAAATATTCATCAAACCAAGTTAAAACAGACTTGAAAAAAATTCTGGTCTCTGAGATAACAGATCAGCTTGTGCAAATATTTGCAGTTTTCCCTAGCTGAGATGGAAACACAGGCATGTAAGGACAACTTTATAGAGCAGGGTGCTCTCATTTATACATCAAATATTAGAACAGAGTATTTTGCACCTGACTTTTTTTGGTGAGCTGACATAGGTGGAGACATCCTGGGGATTAAGAAAAATAAAGGGGTTGGGGATTTATCTTAGTGCTGGGGCATGTGCTAAGCATGTATGAGACCATGGATTCAATCCTAAGCACCAGAAAGGGAGGGAGCGGGAGGGAAATGGGGAGGGAGATGGGGAAGGGGAGGGGGGAATGTTATCATCCTTACCACCTTTTAATTGCTTCCTTCATCTCCTCCATCCCTCTTCCTCCTCTTCCCCCTTCTCCTCCTCCTCCTCCTCCTCTACCACAATGCCATCAGTTAATATTTGTACAAATACTTTAAATTCTTTGGAAGAGAAAAACTGCTTTGTTGCCAAATTGAAAAAAAAAATCTATCTGTTCTGTAGAAGACAGAAAGGGCATATAATCAGTCCTTTCAAAAACAAAACACAAAAACCTTTGTCTTCTTTATATCATTTCTGTTGATCAAACATTAGGGTGGATAAGAAGCCTCATTTTTTTTATGATCTCAGAGCTCATAGTCTAAGGTTATGCATAAAGAAAGGTCATCAGTTGACTATTTTAAATAATACTTTTAAACTTATGACTTAAGTGGCTTGTTTTCTTCAAATGGTGTTGTATTCAATGTATTTTCTTTAAATAGGAATGTCCTTGTGTGTTCGTCGGATTCTCTCACTATTGCCAAGTTTTGTGGGTTTTTTTTTATTGCTTTTCCCCAAGTAGCAAACCTGTAGAAATACAAATTATAGGGGTTTATGTTTTATTTTTTTTGCCTGGACTTCCTTATCTTGCAAAGAGAGAAGAGTAACTATGTAAATCTAACAACTGCCAAAAATATGCCTAAGCCAATAATTGACCAATGCAATGAATCTCTCCGAGATCCCTGGTTGTCTTCTTTTTAAAAAGTGATTTAGTAACTTTTTTTTAACTTAAGAAATTTCATTTTAGAAGAGTTTTAGTTTCTCAGCAAAATGGAGTGGAAAGTAAAGTGTTACCATGTACCCCATCTCCAGGGCGCACAACCTCCGCCACTATCAACATCCCTCACCCAAGTAGAGGCTCAGTCCATGAGTCTACACTGACACCTTGTTATCAACTCAAGTCTCTAGTTTATACCAAGGTTCACTTTATTTGTTTGTTTGTTTATGGAGACAGGATCTCACTCCATTGCCTACGCCAGTCTCAAACTCATGAGCTCCTGATCTGCCTGCCTCGGCTGGGATCCCAAGCATGCACCACCATGTCTATAACACATTAGAGTCCACTCTCCATATTGTGTATTCTGTGGGGTTTGATCAATGTGAAATGTAGCCACATAGTAGTGTCATAGGGAATAGCTTCATCCTAAAAATCTAAGCTCTGCCTATTCATCCCTCTCTGCCTCCTAACCAACTGAAACCTCTGATCTTTTTCACTGTCTCACAGTTTTGCCTTTTCCAGAATGTCACATATAGCCAGCCTCCCCCGCCCATCCATGGGGAATATATCCCAAGACCCACCTGGATAGTACTGCATCCTGTATATACTGTGTTTTCTCCATCCCATTCATACTTACAGTTAATGCCTTTTCCATTTTAACAAAGCACGTTCACACACTCTATTAATAGTAACGTAACTTTGGTAGTTTGAGGGGTCACAACAAGTCAAATTTCTCTTCTTCACAATTTCATGGATGGAAGATTTGTTCTCACCATGCATCTTAGCAATCTCAGCACACAATTTTTTTTTCTTTCCTTATTAAATGGAGAACTCTAATCTTTTCCATTAAGGAAGCACTTTAAGATTTTTCTTTGTTATATCTGAATTGCCAACCTCACTGTTCTTGCCCTTGGGGGCTGTCATTCGGTACAGTAAGGGTTACTTGAACACAAGTACTGTGATACCAGGACAGTCAATCTGATAACAGATGGCTATTAAGTGACTAATGGACAGGAAGCATCCACATGGACAAAGAAATCACTTCTGTCCCGGATGAAATAGGGCCAGACAGAGCAAGATTTCATCGCTCTAGCCAAAATGGTGTGTAACCTAAAACTTATGAATTGTTTATTTCTGGAATTTTCCATTTAATATTTTCAGACTGTAGTTGACCACCAGTAACTAAAATAATAAAAAGCAAAACTGCAGATAAGGGGGAGAGACTACCACGGTTAGAATCATACACGATAGAGGTTTTTCAGATGGGCTTCTTTTACTTCATAATATACATTTAGGCTTTACATGACTTGATAGCTTATTTCTTTTTAGTGCTAAATAATATCTCATTGTCTGGAGGTACCACACTTTATCCACTAACTGAAAGATGTCTTACTGCTTGAGACCTTTGGCAACTATGAATAAAGCTGCTATACACATCTGTGTGCACCCTTACTGTTTTTGCAGTGCTGCAGAGAGAGTTGAGATTCAATTTATTTAATTGATATCAACCTATTCAGATTGTTTCTTCTTCTTGTGTGAGCTTTGGCAAATGGTGTCTTTCGAGGAATTGATTCATCTCTTCTAGATGATCAAATGTGTGTGGGCATAAAGTTGTCCATAATATTCCTTTATTATCCTCTGAATACCCAAGGGATCGGTAATGAAGTCTCTGCTCTTTCATTTCTCATATAAGTAATTTGTGTCTTCTCTTTTTCTTAGCCTGGTTAGAGGCTTACCAGTTTTATTGATCTTTCCAAAGAACCAGATTAGGGTTTTGTTAATTTCACTATTGATTTCCTGCTTTTCATTGGATTGATTTCTGCTTTAATTATCTTGTTCTTCTTACTTTGGATTTGACTTACTCTTCTTTTTCTAGTTTTCTAAGGTCAAAGTTTTTTTTTTTTTTAAGGTCAAAGTTTTAAGGATTTTATGTCCTCCTTCTTTTCTAATAGATGCATTTACTACTATGAATTTCCCTCTAAAGACCGCCTTCACTGCTTGCCACAAATTTTAAGTTGTATTTTCCTTTTAATTTAGCTAAAATACTTTTAAATTCCTTTTGAAATTTCTTCTTTGACTCATCTGTTACTTAGAAATGTGCTTAATGTTCAAACATTGGGATTTTCCACATATCTTTCTGGTATCAATTTGTAGTTTAATTCTGTTTGGGTCTGAGAGCAAACATTTTATATGATTTCCATGTGTTAAATCATGTCTCATGACCCAGAATGGTTTCTCTTGGTGAATGTTCCATATGAACTTAAGAAGAATGTCATTCTGCTATTGTTGGATGAAGTATTCTACAGATGTCAATTTGATCCAGTTTGTTGATAATACTGCTGAGTTTGACTGTGTCCTGATTTTCTTCCTACTGGATCTCTGATAGAAGGTTGTTAACATCTCTAAACACAGTAGTAGATTCATCTGTTTCTCTTTGCAGTTCTACCAGTTTTGACCTTATGTATTTTGACCTTCTGGTTTTAGATATATACACATTAAATCTTGGTATGCCTTTGTC